ACAGGTTGGAATTGGAGTACGTGATGGTGTGGGCATATGGCATCTGTTGAGACAGGTTGGAAGGTGAGTCCGTGATGGTGTGGGCATATGGCATGTGTAGAGACAGATTAAGGTCGTGATGGTGTGGGCATTTGGCATGTGTAGAGAGGCAGACTGGGTCCGTGATGGTGTAGAGAGACAGATTGGGTCCATGATGGTGTGGGCATATGGCGTGTGTTGAGACACTGGTTGGAATGTGAGTCCGTGATGGTATGGGCATATGGCGTGTGTTGAGAGACAGATTGGGTCCGTGATGGGTGTGGACATTTGGCACGTGTAGAGAGACAGATTAGGTCCCGTGATGGTGTGGGCATATGACGTGTATTGAGAGACAGATTGGAGTCGTGATGGTCTAGGCATTTGGCATGTGTAGAGACAGATTGGGTCCGTGATGGGTGTGGGCATATAGCGTGTGTTGAGACACACAGGTTGGAAGGTGAAGCACGTGATGGTGTGGGCATATGGCGTGTGTTGAGATACATCAGGTCCGTGAAGGTGTGGGTATATGACGTGAATTGAGAGACAGGTTGGAATTGGGAGTACGTGATGGTGTGGGCATATGGCATCTGTTGAGAGACAGGTTGGAAAGGTGAGTCCGTGATGGTGTGGGCATATGGCATGTGTAGAGAGACAGATTGGGTCGTGATGGTGTGGGCATTTGGCATGTGTAGAGAGGCAGACTGGGTCCGTGATGGTGTAGAGACAGATTGGGTCCATGATGGTGTGGGCATATGGCGTGTGTTGAGACACTGGTTGGAATGTAGAGACCGTGATGGTATGGGCATATGGCGTGTGTTGAGAGACAGATTAGGTCCGTGATGGGTGTGGGCATTTGGCACGTGTAGAGACAGATTAGGTCCGTGATGGGTATGGGCATATGACGTGTATTGAGAGACAGGTTGGAATTTGGAGTCCGTGATGGTGTGGGCATATGGCGTGTGTTGAGAGACAGTTTTGGTCCGTGATGGTGTGGGCATATTGCGTCTGTTGAGAGACATGTTGGAAGGTGAGTACGTGATGGTGTGGGCATTTGGCATGTGTAGAGACAGGATTGGGTCCGTGATGGTGTGGGCATTTGGCATGTGTAGAGAGACAGATTGGGTCCGTGATGGTGTGAGCATATGACGTGTATTGAGAGACATGTTGGAAGGTGAGTACGTGATGGTGTGGGCATTTGGCATGTGTAGAGAGACAGATTGGGTCCGTGATGGTGTGGGCATATGGCATGTGTAGAGAGACAGATTGGGTCCGTGATGGTGAGGGCATATGGCATGTGTAGAGAGACAGATTGGGTCGTGATGGTCTGGGCATTTGGCATGTGTAGAGAGACAGATGGGTCCGTGATGGTGTGGGCATATATGGCGTGTGTTTGAGACACAGGTTGGAATGTGAGTCCGTGATGGTGTGGGCATATGGCGTGTGTTGAAGACAGATTGGGTCCGTGATGGTGTGGACATTTGGCACGTGTAGAGACAGATTAAGGTCCGTGATGGTGTGGGCATATGACGTGTATTGAGAGACAGGTTGAAAGTGAGTCAAATCATGGTGTGGGCATATGGCGTGTGTTGAGAGGACAGTTTTCGTCCGTGATGGTGTGAGCATATTGCGTCTGTTGAAGAGACATTGTTGGAAGGTGAGTACGTGATGGTGTGGGCATTTGGCATGTGTAGAAAGTCAGATTGGGGTCCGTGATGATGGTGTGGGCATTTGGCATGTGTAGAGAGACAGATTGGGTCCGTGATGGTGTGAGGCATATGACGTGTATTGAGAGACATGTTGGAAAGGTGAGTACGTGATGGTGTGGGCATTTGGCATGTAGAAGAGACAGATTAGGTCCCGTGATGGTGTGGGCATATGGCATGTGTAGAGACAGATTGGGTCCGTGATGGTGAGGGCATATATGGCATGTGTAGAGAGACAGATTGGGTCGTGATGGTCTGGGCATTTGGCATGTGTAGAGAGACAGATTGGGTCCGTGATGGTGTGGGCATATGGCGTGTGTTGAGAGACAGAGTGGGTCCGTGATGGTGTGGACATTTGGCACGTGTATAGAGACAGATTGGGTCCGTGATGGTGTGGGCATATGACGTGTATTGAGAGACAGGTTGAGAGGTGAGTCCGTCATGGTGTGGGCATATGGCGTGTGTTGAGAGACAGTTTTCGTCCGTGATGGGTGTGGGCATATTGCGTCTGTTGAGAGACAGTTTTGGTCCGTGATGGTGTGGGCATAACAAGACCTGCGTCTGTTGAGAGACAGATTGGGTCCCGTGATGATGTGGGCATATGGCATGTGTAGAGAGATATAGGTTGGAAGGTGAAGTCCAGCGTGATGGTGTGGGCATTTGGCATGTGTGTAGAGACAGATTGGGTCCGTGATGGTGTAGGCATTTGGCATGTGTAGAGACAGATTGGGTCCGTGATGGTGTGGGCATATGACGTGTATTGAGAGACATGTTGGAAGGTGAGTACGTGATGGTGTGGGCATATGGCGTGTGTTGAGAGATACATCGGGTCCGTGAAGGTGTGGGTATATGACGTGAATTGAGAGACAGGTTGGAATTGGAGTACGTGATGGTGTGGGCATATGGCATCTGTTGAGAGACAGGTTGGAAGGTGAGTCCGTGATGGTGTGGGCATATGGCATGTGTAGAGAGACAGATTGGGTCGTGATGGTGTGGGCATTTGGCATGTGTAGAGAGGCAGACTGGGTCCGTGATGGTGTAGAGAGACAGATTGGGTCCATGATGGTGTGGGCATATGGCGTGTGTTGAGACACAGGTTGGAATGTGAGTCCGTGATGGTATGGGCATATGGCGTGTGTTGAGAGACAGATTGGGTCCGTGATGGTGTGGGCATTTGGCACGTGTAGAGAGACAGATTGGGTCCGTGATGGTGTGGGCATATGACGTGTATTGAGAGACAGGTTGGTATTTGAGTCCGTGATGGTGTGGGCATATGGCGTGTGTTGAGAGACAGTTTTGGTCCGTGATGGTGTGGGCATATTGCGTCTGTTGAGAGACATGTTGGAAGGTGAGTGTGTGATGGTGTGGGCATATGGCATGTATAGAGAGACAGATTGGGTCCGTGATGGTGTGGGTGTATGGCATGTGTAGAGAGACAGATTGGGTCGTGATGGTCTGGGCGTTTGGCATGTGTAGAGAGACAGATTGGGTCCGTGATGGTGTGGGCATATGGCATGTGTAGAGAGACAGATTGTGGTGTGATGGTGTGGGCATATTGCGTCTGTTGAGAGACATGTTGGAAGGTGAGTGTGTGATGGTGTGGGCATATGGCATGTATAGAGAGACAGATTGGGTCCGTGATGGTGTGGGCATATGGCATGTGTAGAGAGACAGATTGTGGTGTGATTGGGTCCATGATGGTGTGGGTATATGACGTGAATTGAGAGACAAGTTGGAATTGGAGTACGTGATGGTGTGGGCATATGGCATCTGTTGAGAGACAGGTTGGAAGGTGAGTCCGTGATGGTGTGGGCATATGGCATGTGTAGAGAGACAGATTGGGTCGTGATGGTGTGGGCATTTGGCATGTGTAGAGAGACAGATTGGGTCCGTGATGGTGTGGGCATATGACGTGTATTGAGAGACATGTTGGAAGGTGAGTACGTGATGGTGCGGGCATATGGCATTGTGTAGAGAGACAGATCGGGTCCGTGATGGTGTGGGCATTTGGCATGTGTAGAGAGACAGATTGGGTCCGTGATGGTGTGGGCATATGGCATGTGTAGAGAGACAGATTGGGTACGTGATGGTGTGGGTATATGACGTGTATTGAGAGACATGTTGAAAGGTGAGTCCGTGATGGTTATTGGCATATGGCATGTGTTGAGAGACAGATTGGGTCCGTGAAGGTGTGGGTATATGACATGTATTGAGAGACATGTTGGAAGGTGAGTACGTGATGGTGTGGGCATATGGCATGTGTTGAGAGACAGACTGGGTCCGTGATGGTGTGGGCATATGGCATGTGTAGAGAGACAGATCGGGTCCGTGATGGTGTGGGCATTTGGCATGTGTAGAGTGACAGATTGGGTCCGTGATGGTGTGGGCATATGGCATGTGTAGAGAGACAGATTGGGTCCGTGATGGTGTGGGCATATGGCATGTGTAGAGAGACAGATTGGGTCCGTGATGATGTGGGCATATGGCATGTGTAGAGAGACAGATCGGGTCCGTGATGGTGTGGGCATTTGGCATGTGTAGAGAGACAGATTGGGTCCGTGATGGTATGGGCATATGGCATGTGTAGAGAGACAGATTGGGTCGTGATGGTGTGGGCATAGAGCATGTGTAGAGAGACAGATTGGGTCCGTGATGGTGTAGAGAGACGGATTGGGGTCCGTGATGGTGTGGGCATATATCATTTGCAGAGAGACAGATTGGGTCCGTGATGGTGTGGGCATATGGCGTGTGTTGAGAGACAGATTGGGTCCGTGATGGTGTGGGCATATGACGTGTATTGAGAGACATGTTGGAAGGTGAGTACGTGATGGTGTGGGCATTTTGCATGTGTAGAGAGGCAGATTGGGTCCGTGATGGTGTGGGCATATGGCATGTGTAGAGAGACAGATTGGGTCCGTGATGGTGTGGGCATTTGGCATGTGTAGAGAGACAGATGGGGTCCGTGATGGTGTGGGCATATGACGTGTATTGAGAGACATGTTGGAATGTGAGTCCGTGATGGTGTGGGCATATGTCGTGTGCTGAGAGACAGATTGGATCCGTGACGGTGTGGGCATATGGCAAGTGTTGAGAGACAGATTGGATCCGTGATGGTGTGGGCATATGACGTGTGTTGAGAAACAGATTGGAAGGTGGGTCCATCATGGAGTGCTGGTATCACATGTAAGAATGAGAGTCTGGGGTTGACGTAAACCCGATTGAACATCTATTGGGCGAATACAATTACACAAACCTCTTCCATAAATCTTCTTTTTCCAGGTGAGAATGCCACAGTCATCCTTGGCATTCCTTCGTCAGATGATGTTCGCACAGTAGACAACGTTATCTTAACTGATCCTCAAGGAGCTGAGCTGGCAAGACATGGCGGACTGATACAGGTTGCGTCAAGAGCTGATTCACTGACCTACAGGACCACGTTCTCACTGCCTGTGGAGGTAAAAACTGGATCACTGGATCACTTTATTCTATTCCTACAGCATTTCGATCACATTTTAAGCAAATATGTAAATTTCAAATATTTACGTAAAAACACACAATTGTATTTGCTGTAACGTTTGCTTTTTCAAATGTCCACTAAAAGACGTATTGAATACCTCATATTGAGACGGAAAGGGTATCCGCGTTTCATATAAAGTTCATATTTTAGTTCGAATTTACACAATGCTTGTTTGAACACATTTTGGTGAAGACATCTCATCCACATAAAGGTCGTGATTTGCATATGTATGTATTTGTTTGGAGCGCGATATTCAGATCGTGGTGATTAAATGTGAACATCTGGTTTAAAATGCGAAATGTGGATGCTAAATATTAAGGTCAAAACGCTGTTTGTGATGAAAAGAGAAACTGCGCCAAAGGATGTTGCCAGTCTTTACTTGCTGTTCATCGCAGTATCACCTCTTTGGAAACGTTATCTACAGCAGGGCAACACCAACGACTTGCTACGTCATGCACGTCTGATGTCAAGGTTATATCAGTTTCTGAGTGTGACTGTAACAGTATGTATGGACATTACAACGCACTGGACATCACAACACGTCATTGTTATTGTCAACTGGAATGGGACGACGTCATTCTGGATCATGTTTACCCTTTGAGAAAATGCAGGACCGTTAAGTTACTGGATAGTGCCCTTGTTGAGGCAGCACAATATTGCTGCACTGTTCCTGTTATTCGGGGATAGTGCCCTTGTTGAGGCAGCACAATATTGCTGCACTGTTCCTGTTATTCGGGGATAGTGCCCTTGTTGAGGCAGCACAATATTGCTGCACTGTTCCTGTTATTCGGGGATAGTGCCCTTGTTGAGGCAGCACAATATTGCTGCACTGTTCCTGTTATTCGGGGATAGTGCCCTTGTTGAGGCAGCACAATATTGCTGCACTGTTCCTGTTATTCGGGGATAGTGCCCTTGTTGAGGCAGCACAATATTGCTGCACTGTTCCTGTTATTCGGGGATAGTGCCCTTGTTGAGGCAGCACAATATTGCTGCACTGTTCCTGTTATTCGGGGATAGTGCCCTTGTTGAGGCAGCACAATATTGCTGCACTGTTCCTGTTATTCCAGACGTCTCCCCAACAAAACATGTCTGGGATGAAATATACAGGGCCAAAACGACGCTAGTTCAGTTAGAAGAACCTACCCCGTGGATGGTGTCTCACATGTGCTGCTGCTGCCTCGCCTGCATCTACGTATCTGTGAACCCACCCATGAAGTGAATGATGTTGCTTAACGCTGTTGTAGCAGATGGCGACGGTCACGATCAGACGGACCATGTACCACGCCCCCGTGGTACGATACACACGGTGGGGACATGGTTAATCGCTACATGCCCTGGATACTAAAGTCAAATGCTACCATGCAGTTGTTTAATCTTACAGAATATACTGGCTAATGCCGTTTTTGTATAATTAAGGCATTCCAAATGGCTGTAGAAGGCACCGACAAAGGAGGAAACAAGTTTTTGCGTCTTCAAACAAGAGTGATAGTGCCTGTTGGCATAGACCTTGCGTTTCTCCCCAATAATGGTACGGACCTGTTTTGTATTCTTCGTAATGTTTCCAGTAGATTTGGGAACCAGGTGTGTTCTTATTGCCTCAAAAATAAGAATGTTTAAATGAATCAGTATGCCTAGATTGCAAACCGTATAAATTCATACAAAACCTTTTGCTCAAACTAATACGTTTCACAATTCATACCAAATTTAAATGAAATCCGGGTACTTATTAACATGTTTCCTACAATACAGGGAGCACGTACACTATAGGAGAGAATACAATTCCCTTCACGGTGGTCAACAAGGCTGAAGCCGAGTCCAACATCACAGTCAGATTGTCACACAGAGTCACTAGTAGCGAGTACCACTACACCTTACAGCCCGGGGAACGTAAATCAGCGTCAGAGACACTGGATGTGACCGACTACGATGTCAGGTATACCCCCATTGTGTAACGACACATTTCAAATATAGAACGCTAGTACAATCCAAGACCCTGGCTTGACTATACTCAGAAACAAATTTCGTTTGGTGTAAAAGGAAAACAAAAGCCATGAAAATTTACTGAATGGATCATTGAAAATCAGTAGTGACAGGTGCTGAAAATATAAAAATGTATACATAAAATATATGAAATGTGAAAAAGTGTTATAATAGCAGAGGTAATAACTCATAACAATATACTAAGTGTTTTAGTACCTGAACTGATAACACGTAACAATATGCCAGTGTAACACCGAGCCGATAACCCGTAGCAATATACCAAGTGTTATAGTAGCTCAGCTGGTAACCCGTACCAATATGCCAGTCTAACAGTAGCTTAGCCAATAACCCACAACAATATACCAAGTGTTATAGCAGCTGAGCTGATAACCCGTAACAATATGTCAAGTGTTAAAGTAGCTGAGCTGATAACCCGTAACAATATGTCAAGTGTTAAAGTAGCTGAGCTGATAGCCCCTAACAATAAGTCAAGTGTTATAGTAGCTGAGCTGATAACCCATAACAATATACCAAGTGTTATAGTAGCTGAGCTGAAAACCTGAAAGAATAGACCAAGTGCTATTACAGCTAATAACCCCTAACAATATGTCAAGTGTTATAGTAGCTGAGCTGATAACCCCTAACAATGTGTCAAGTGTTATAGTAGCTGAGCTGATAACCCGTAACAATATACCAAGTGTTAAAGTAGCTGAGCTGACAACCCCTAACAATAAGTCAAGTGTTATAGTAGCTGAGCTGATAACCAATAACAATATGTCAAGTGTTATAGTAGCCGAGCTCATAACTCATAACAATATGCCAAGTGTTTTAGTAGCTGAGCTGATAACCCGTAACAATATACCAAGTGTTAAAGTAGCTGAGCTCATAACCCCTAACAATAAGTCAAGTGTTATAGTAGCTGAGCTGATAACCCCTAACAATATACCAAGTGTTATAGTAGCTGAGCTGAAAACCCCTAAAAATATGTCAAGTGTTATAGTAGCCGAGCTCATAACTCATAACAATATGCCAAGTGTTTTAGTAGCTGAGCTGATAATCCGCAACAATATACCAAGTGTTATAGTAGCTGAGCTAATAATCCATAACAATATGCCAGTGTAATAGTAGCTTAGCCAGTAACCCACCAAAATGTATCAAGTGTTATAATAGTCGAACCGATAACCTCTAACAATATCTCAAATCTTATAGTAGGTGACCCGATAACACATAACAATATGTCAAGTTTTATAATAGCTGAGCTGATAACCCGTAACAATATACCAAGTGTTAAAATAGCTGATAACCCCTGACAATATGTCAAGTGTTATAGTTGCTGAGCTGAAAACCACTAATAATATGTCAAGTGTTATGATAGCTGAGCTGATAACCCGTAACAATATACAAAGTGTTATAATATCTGATAACCACTAACAATATGCCAAGTATTTTAGTAGCTGAGTTGATAACCCAAAACAATATGCCAAGTGTTGTTGCAGGTGAGCTGATAACCCCTAATAATATGCCAAGTGTTATAGTAGCTGAGCTCATAACCCGTAACAATAGACCAAGTCTTATAGTGGCTGAGCTCATAACCTGTAACAATAGACCAAGTGTTATAACAGCTGATAACCCCTAACAATATGTCAAGTGTTATAGTAGCTGAGCTGCAAACCCACAACAATATGCCAAGTGTTATAGTAGCTGAGCTGATAACCCATAACAATACGCCAAGTGTTTTAGTAGCTGAGCTGATAAACCGTAATAATATGCAAAGTGTTATAGTAGCTGATCTGATAACCCGTAACAATATACCAAGTGTTATAGTAGCTGAGCTGATAACCCATAACAATATGTCACGCGTTATAATAACCAAACCAATAACTAATAACAATATACCAAGTGTTATAATACATGATAACCCCTCACAATATGCCAAGTGTTGAGCTGTAGCTGAGCTGATAACCCGATAACCCATAACAATATATCAAGTGTTATAGTAGCTGAGCTCATAACCTGGAACAATAGACCAAGTGTTATAACAGCTTATTACCCCTAACAATATGTCAAGTGTTATAGTAACTGAGCTGAATACCCACAACAATATGCCATGTGTTATAATAGCTAAACCAATAACCCTAATAATATGCCAAGTGTTATTATAGCTGGGCTGATAATCAATAACAAGATACCAAGTGTTATAGTGGCTGAGCTCATAACCTGTAACAATAGAGCAAGTGTTATAACAGCTTATTACCCCTAACAATATGTCAAGTGTTATAGTAACTGAGCTGAATACCCACAACAATATGCCATGTGTTATAATAGCTAAACCAATAACCCTAATAATATGCCAAGTGTTATTATAGCTGGGCTGATAATCAATAACAAGATACCAAGTGTTATAGTGGCTGAGCTCATAACCTGTAACAATAGAGCAAGTGTTATAACAGCTGATAACCCGTAACAATATGTCAAGTGTTATAGTAGCTGAGCTGCAAACCCACAACAATATGCCAAGTGTTATAATAGCCAAACCAATAACCCTTAACAATATGTCAAGTGATATAGTAGGTGACCCGATAACCCATAACAAGATACCAAGTGTTATAGTAGCTGATTATAACCCGAAACAATATACCAAGCCTTATAGTAGGCCTACACAACATTATATCTGGGGTTTTTTATAGCCGAGCCGATAACCCCTTACAATATGTCAAGTGTTATAGTTGGTGACCCGATAACCCATAACAATATACCAAGTGTTTTAGTAGCTGATAACCCCTATCAATATGTCAAGTGTTATAGTAGCTGAGCTGATAACCACTAACAATATGCCAAGTGTTATAGTAGCTGAGCTGATAAGCCGCAACAATATGCCAAGTATTTAAGTAGCTGATTTGATAACCTATAACATTTTATCATTGTTATAGTAGCTGAGCTGATAAGCCGTAACAATATACCAAGTGTTATAGTAGCTGAGCTGATAACCTATAACATTTTATCATTGTTATAGTAGCTGAGCTGATAACCCCTAGCAATAGGTCAAGTGTTATTGCAGCTGACCCGATAACCCATAGTGGTATGTCAAGTGTAATAGCACCTGACCCAATAACCCGGAACAATATGTCAAGTGTTATAAAACCTGACCCAATAACCCGGAACAATATGTCAAGTGTTATAGTAGCTGAGCTGATAACCCGCAACAATATACCAAGTGTTATAATAGTTGATAACTTGTAACAATATGCCAAGTTTTATAGTAGTTAATTTGACAAGTATTATGATAATCTATCTCATATGCAAAGATTTATACATAGTGGGATTGTGGTTTGTTTATTATAAATGGTATTACCGTGTATGTTTTCAATATAATCCTCAATGCGTCCCCAGGACATTCACGCTTACTGCAAAGACATCTAGCGCAAGTGAGAGCGAGTTCCAGTACGACATAATACATCTGGTCGCAGAAAAGCCTGATCTCAGGGTACGTATTTAGGAAATTATGTTTTATATCAAGGGTCCAAACGTCGGGCAGTACACCAATTGAAATATACATAAATATGGTAGGAAATACACGCACGTTTCCCGGTAACTTCCGACGTATTTCTTATGTGAAGCTGCACCTTTGAAACATATATTGCCGTATGCACAAGCACCTGTTTCAAGTGTTACTATGGCCGGTTATGCAGACATATACTGGCATGAATTCCCCACATGGATACAATGTGTGAAGGCCGTTTTTGGTTTCCCCGCCGTGATATTGCTGGAATATTGCTAAAAGCGGCGTAAAACTACACTCACTCACTCCTAGCATGATTTGAACAGTTGATGCTTCAGGAAACGGTTTATCTTAGAGTATTTCAATATATGCCTTTCAATGGTGGTAGGTGCTGTAATTTCCGTCGTGGAGATCCAGTTTTCCAGAGACATTTCAAGTTTATTTTTTCCTTATCCTGACTCATGCTCTTTTTGCTTGTCTTCTTCTTCTTGCGAACATAGTGGAACACTTGTATCTCCCTAATTGAAGCTCCCTTCAATGTAAAATCACTAATTAGTACACCACGAGTTACCTCCCTTCCACAAGCGCGGGAACGAGGGCGCCACCTCTACCCATGTGCCTCACTCTCTCCTTCTTCGCCCAGTGAGCTGGACGTGAGAGCGCCTGTGTCTCCCGACACACTATATCCTTGGATTATATTTAGTTAGTTACCTCGTATAGACATCTATAGAGGTTTAGCTAGTATCCTTCAACAATTATATATTGATATTTAGTCGTGTTTCTACTGTTTATTCACGGGACGCCATGTTTGTTCTGTGGATTACGTTGATGAAAATTCTGTACTGTTGCAGATTACGTTTTTTATTCTGCTGCTGATCCGCATTTAATATGCCCTAGCTGTACTGCGCCATGTTCATTTTATTCACGTGGCAGTTGCGGTACTAATTTATCCAATTCTGCCTTTAATAAATAAATACTTTATGTTTGAGACGCGCAGCAGATAGGTCACGTATGCAGAGTCTAGCCATGACTGATACACCTGAACCCTCGCCAGTCTACTGCTGTTGGTCGACCCCCCTCCCGTCTGGTATTCCGCTAGAGTGGTGGAGAGGCGTGGGACGTAGTCCGCCGCCTCCAAGAAGCGTCCTGCTTCCCCAGACATCCCATCGTCGCAGCCGAAGACTAGAGGGCTTCTACTGCATCTCAACGCAGACTTCACACCCCCAGGGCAGCGTCGACCTCTGAGGGGAAATCAACGAAGTCTACTAGAACTTTCTCAGCCGAGATTGTTCCCGTCGCAGATTTGGGCCTGTATGATGATCAGCCGATCATCATACCTGATGTACATCAAAAGAATGACCGATGTCGGCAACAGTGATGTCAGCGCAGATCAACATGCAGCCTGATGTACTAACGCTGATATTCGATGATCTTCCTGAGGGTCCCGTCGCTACCAACACTCAACGCAGACTTCGCACCCCCAGGGCAGCGTCGACCTCTGAGGGGAAATCAACGAAGTCTACTAGGACTTTCTCAACCGAGATTGTTCCAGCCGCTGAACTGGGCCTCTACGATGATCAACCGATCATCATCCCCGGCGTACGCCACAAGAAGCGACCAGTGACATCAGCAGAGATCGCCATGCAGCCTGATGTCTCTACACTGATGTCAGACGACTTCCCTGAGGGCTCAGCAGCTGTCATCGCAGAGAGGGCACCGACCACTTCGTCGCAGACCATCCCAGACGAGCTGTTGCGGCAGATCATGACCATGATGGAGGGCCACTACAGACGGGAGAAGCAGCCAGCCCAGGGCCTGAGCAACGCAGACAACACCCCAGAGGCACCCCCAGTCAGCGTAGCAGCCACGACGAAGCAGCCTTCGAGAAGGAAGTCACAGACCACCTCGACGAAGGACCCAGATGTACAGTCTTCGCGAAGGCTTTCGCGAAGACGGGAGAGATCGTCACCGTCCTCGGCCTCATCCTCAGATGCGGACTCAAGGTCATCCCATAGACGCAGATCACCTAGACGATCTCCACGCCGTTCACCACGACGATCTCCACGTACATCACCACGTCGATCACCTCGCAGGTCACCACACAAGTCGGCAGCGTCACCCGACATAGAGATAGCAGCACACAGGTCACCATCAGAAGAGCATCAACCTCTCATCACCGATGCTGGTACAGAAGATGATGGAGACATCATCTTCTCAGACGCTGAGATAAGATATTGGATGGTAAACAACCTAGATTTATCTTCACCGTCCAAGAGTGGCAACTCAGCGCAGACATACCTGATGAAGGAAGACGATGTAGACGTCGTCACCCTACCTCCGATCGACCCGATTGCTGCGGTGCCACAGAATGTGGACACAGCCTACCATAAAGGCATGTAAGTTCAAACGCCAGAGGCGTATGTTCTTTGGCCTTAATAGATCTAGAACGATCAATGAGATTCTTATCACCAGATTTCGTGACACGACTTCTGAAGATGATAGGATGATCTACTCGGCTCTACTTATGCAGAACCAGCAAGAACCACACCCTGTATGAAGCTAACGCTCATATATTGATCGGACTCTAGACACTTCGATAAGGAAGTCCCAGGCCGCCTCCGCGAAGGAACTAGAGCCTCACCAGTTACAAGGGACGTCACGGAGGAGTAGCGCTTCGCCGACCCCACATCCTGTTGAACACAGAGGTCGTTCACGAAGCAAGCATGAGTCAGGATAAGTATAAAATATCAATTTTTACTCTAAAAATTACATATATATATACTGATCGGGCTCTGACTCGATACCTTCGCGAAGGTCGCGAAGGCTAAGTGGCTCCAAGTCTGCTTCACCCAGAAGATCTAGAAGGGATACTTCGAGAGCTTCGTGAAGTCTCCGGCGTTCACCGAGGAAGTATCCTCCAAGGTCTCCATATACTAGCCACTCGTCATATATAGCTACTCGTCAGTCCGTTCAAGACATCGCATAAAGTGTCTATCAACTGTATGCCATATGCCGTCTATAAGCCTACGCGAAGACAATTGCACAGGCTATTTACAACACAGAACGTCGCTATATTAATTAGTCAACGACGTTTCATAGATATTCACAGAAATCAACTTTCCGTATAGATTGCTAGAATATGCTATCCCACACTACGATACGATTATCTACATGCGTGACCATTACGCAGATCTGCAGACAATTCAATATCGAAATTGAACAGCAACCTGTTACAGCGAGTATAACTCATAATCGTCAACGTTTCTGAGAAGTAATATGTACAACAAGTTCAGCTTTAATTCTACAATTATGACGATACATTCATGTATACAGTCTACAAGCTGACAACTTGCAAGTTTATTGTACCTTTATATAAGGAAGTCGGAATTATATTCAAAACTGAAGTTACTTTCACGACAGCCAGGAAAATAACCTACCCAGCATTAATATTACAGAGCGAGGTATTTCGCGCCGGAGGTTTCGCGCGTTTACCATTAACCCTCGAAACACGTGGTCACTCGGGTAACTTCGAAAGCTACGGTGAAGACCGACGATTATGCTAATATAAACGACGGCAAGATTTTATACAAGGTTTTTTCCTGCTACACCGGTGACATCACAGCGCGGGTATTCTACAGAATCAAAATGCCTTGTTCTGATTGGACCGCGATGGACAACGACCTACGCAGAGGTCGGTCTTAGTTCACAGTTCAAGACTCACGTTACAAGTGACAACTATATATCAGTGAACGAGCAAGCCTCCTTACAGTCCAGTTAATCTGAACCTTCATGATTGGGCTGCTTTCTTCAGGTTAGAGACCTCCCCTGTCAAGTTAGGACGAGGGCACGGCAGTCAGGCGATTTTACATAAAAGTTCAACGAGGACAGACACACCTGGTTGTGCACCTACATCGTCAAGGACTTCGCAGCGAATTTACCTAGACGACGGAATACAAGTGGATCTAAATCCACAGCGTCTCAGTCTACAACTGAATTTCATCATCAAACTACTAACACAACTAGATGGTGAGTAAACCTACTTAAGCTTTCTGATTGGAGGATTAAAACGGAAGTTTCACGCTCCAACTTCGGGATCTGTATATAGTGCTCCAACACCTCACAAGTGAGGTTTATGAACACGCCTGGATGACATACTTGGACTTCATGATACGATGATTCTATCACGATGGCCAGCAAGAGCACTGTAAATTTATCTCCACCGAACCAAACAGGAGGGAAAATGCATCAGATTATTTCCTCTATATTCAAGTTACGCAGACTGAAGTCTCATGTACTACCATCTCCTTGGATCAGAACTGTCATACTATGTGCCTACAAGACTGATGGACCCGATCCGACCCTCCATGAGCTTCTAATACTCATGATATTAGAGCGCTAACTTCTACAATTGATCTACACAAATGTTATTTGAAATTATGGAGGGGTTATTTCTGGAGATCCGATATGGTGGTTGCCAACCATTATCTGAGAGATATCACCGTCAAGGACGTCTCAGGTATCCACCAATTCGGTTCCAGGGTCCTCGCACAACAGTTGACAGTTCCTCGGAGAAGATAAGTCAATCTTACAGATTTCTACTTATCTTATAACAGTACTAAATAGCTACATGCTATATATAATTTGCTTAAGTTCTTTTTTATCATCACAGTACTATGATTATTACATCATACAATATATAAGTTAACAACTCTACAGAGTTTGTTATTATATATTTACCTTAAGTTAATCATATCTTAAGCGTAGTACTATGGTTGCATTATAAATGCATTAGCTAATAAACTCTACAGAGTTTTTGGCTATTATATACGTAGCTTAAGTTAATTATATCTTAAGCATAGTACTATACACATATTATAAAAATATATTAGCTTACAAACTCTACGGAGTTTTGCTATTATATAGGTAGCTTAAGCTTATTCATATCTTAAGCTCAGTACTATGTTTATATCATATAAGTATATTAG